GTGCCTGTGTGGAGACGTGAGTGCGCTTGGTGTGTGTGCAGTGAGGCGGTGGGTTTACCCTGTGCCGACGAGGGGGGGCCCGCGCGGGGTGGGGTGGGGGGCTCTGCCTGGAACAGATGACCTCCAGGGCTGGACTCTGCAATGCGGGTCTCAGGCTGCCTGTGGAATGGTTGAGGCACAGTGCCTAGGCGGCGGCGGTGCCCACCGCCCTCGTGCCGCCCCTTTCACCCCAGAGGTGGAGGGCAGGTGCTGGGGAGGGTGTTAGGTCCCTGTGGGGCCCCCAGGCAAAGTCCCTGGGAGCAGGTGCTTACTGCCCCAGGTCACCTGGCAGGTTCGGAGCAGAGAATGAAACTCAGATTCAGGGCTCTCGACTTTTAAGTCCCGAATCCTCAGTTTTACTTATTTGGCCCTGCCTAAATCTGATTCTCACAGAGCGGTGTTGGGAAACGGGCACTGGACCAGAGAGGTCAAGAAATTTGGGTTCTAGTCTAGGCTCTGCCACCCACCAGCTGAGAGACGTCAGCAGATTCACCCTGGTCTAGCTCGGCCTCAATTTCCTGGGCTGTTGAGTGGTTTCCAGGGGCCACTGGAAACCTGTTGCAGCAGGTCTGTGATTTGGAGCACTCCCCTCTCTCTTGCCCACTTGACAGACCCTGGAGTACTCCTCCCTCTCTTCTCCACTCATCCCCCTGCCCGGCTGAGCCCCGGCTGCTTATCCTTCCTGTCTTTCAGACCCCCACCCGTCCCACGCAGTCCATCCCCTGCAATGGGAATGGAATGTCGACGCTCAAGTGTTGACACTCAAGTTCCGGGCTCTGAGGGGAAGGTCATCAGATGAACATGCCTAGTGTCAGTCAGGGTCTCTGTAGGGTAACAAGGAAGGGCTTCCCGAGAGAGGTAGGGGCCACAGTCCAGATGCAGGAGCTGGCTTTTCCTGGTCAGCATTAACAGGATACTCCTGAAGCATGGTGTGGTGTGGATAATCCTAGCCCTCAGAGATCTCCCTATAACTTCATCAGCTCCCACCTCAGCTAGGGGCACCCGGAGCCTGCCCGCACCCCAGGGTCCTGGGGGAGGGACTCCCAACCAAGTGAGCCCTGCCAGTCCTCCTAGATGTGTCTTCAGGGCCCCTGGTTTCTAAAGAACCCCTCAGAGTCATTGTGGGGGGATGTTAGCTAAGTGGGGCTCTAGCCTTTGTCCCATCCAGAGTTGCTCTACTCTGTTTCTTATGTTGGTTTTTCTTTTACTATTTCCTTTCAAGAAGGGATTTGCTGGTTAAAACAATTTAAAATTCAAAACCTTTGTTCCCATCCAACTCTGAAATGGGCTAAGAAAAACATGGAGGGTTGTTTTGAGGATCAGATGAATCAATACATGGAAAGCACTTTGCATTTAAAGAAATGTGAGCTATTAATATTACCGCACTGGGGAGTGTAAGTAAAGCCTGAAGAGGGGAGGGCTTGCTAGAGCCACGTCCCCTGTACTTTGTTAGAGCAGTCAGAAATCCTCCCCAGCTCCTCCCTCTAGCTAGATGACCTCAGGGCCTCTGGTGCCAGCTCTGTGGCGAAGACAGGAGTTTGGAGGGTGTTATCCCATCTCTAGAGCTCCTCCTTTAGGACAAGCGCCTGATTCTCATCCAGGAAGGCAGTTTTGAGGTGGCCGGTCACCGCACCGTGTGCCGCCGCTGCCGCATTCCTGGAGGACGTCAGAGCCTGCTTCCAGCTCTGTGCCAAAGCCGCAGGTGGGGACCTGCTGCGTGCCGTCCCCTCAGCTGGCTTTCCTGGGCGCTCAGGCCTGGACTCCCAGTGCTGCGCACTGGACACCCCTGCTGTTTTCTCTGATGCGCTCAGTCTCTCAGGGCCTTGCCCTTTATGTTAACCTTGAAAGCTAACATGGATGGTTATGTGCCAGGGACTGATCCCATAGCCACCCGTGAGGCCGGTACACTAAGTGTGCATTCATTCATTTACAGAGGGCACGCGGGTGCTCTAGTCCACCAGCTCAGCCTGCCTATCCCGAGGCAGGGTGAATAGAGTCCTGAGATGTGTCCCCTCCCCCCAAAGTCTCCCCCCCAGCTTAGCATCCTCAGTCCATCTTCCCTTCTTGACCTCAGGGCCCTCCTGAGCTTGCCCTGGCCCACCTGCTGGCCAAGTCCCTTTCCTGTGGTCTGCCACATCCCCTGTCCGTGCGAATGGGCCATGCATGATCTCTGCATCCCGCGGCCGTGCTGTTCTCTTCTCAGGGTGGCCCACCCCTACCTAACTTCCTTCTTTCCTGACCACCAAGACCCAAGGCAGCTTTAGGCCTTGGGAAACCTTGTCGACCCCTGGGGGACTGGCGACCCTTCTCTGACCTCCCACAGCATCAGGGACTTTGTTCCTGTCACAGGACTCACTTTACTGGCTTGAGTCTGTTGGGCCATCTTTCCCCTCGTGAGATTTGAGTTCCAGAAACCCAGCCAGTGCTTAGGCCATAGCATAGGCTGGAGAAATGCTGGTCGAGTGAATGAGTGAATAATTTGGCCCTACTGGTGACTGTGACTGGCCCAGATCCGGTGGTTCCCTTCCTCCCTTTCCTCGGAGCAATGTGGAGCCGACACCCGGAGCCTGCCCACACCCCAGGCCCTGTGCCGGCCCCTCCTGGGCCTGGGTGGTCCGTCCTCAGCTCGTGAATTAGTCATTCATTTCCAATGCTGTCGTAACAAGTTGCCACAAACTTAGCAGCTTAAAAAAAATGCCCATTTATTATCCCACAGTTTCTGTAAGTCAGAAGTCGGGGCATAGGGCGGCTCGGCTGGCCTTGCTGGAGTCTCACAAGACCCAAATCAGGGTGTCGGCCGGGAGGCACTCCCTTCTGGAGGCTCTGGTGGTGAATCTGCCTCCGAGTTCATTAGGCTCGTTGGCAGAATTTGTTCCTGTGGAGATGTGGGACTGAGGCTCCCATGTCCTCGTTAGCTGTGGGCCGGGGACATTGTCAGCCACCCGTATTTCCCGGCATGTGGCCCCCTTCAAAGCCTCCCACGGTGAATGGAGTTCTCAGGCTTTCTGGTCTCTGACCGTTCAGCTGCATCTCTCTTCTGCCTCCCTTTTCTGTTTTTGAGGGCTCATGTGATGACATTGGGCGCCACCAATAAGCCAGGATAATCTCTCTATTTTAAGGTCAACCTAGTAGTAAACTTGATTCCATCGGCAAAGTCCCTTTACAGCAGCACTTCGATTAGTGTTTGCATGAGCAGAGGACCCACGGGAAAGCTGGGGCATCTTTATTTTCTCATTTTTTAATTTTTTTTTTTCAAGTAGGCTCCACGCCCCACGTGGGGCTTGAACTCCCGACCCTGAGATCAAGAGTCGCATGCTGTACTGACAGAGTCAGCCAGGGGCATCTTTAGAATTCCTTTCAGGCCCAGCGTGGCTCTTCCTTCTCCGAGCTTCGTTAGGGGCCACTGCTCTGGGAGAGCCACAGGGAGCCTTTGCCCAAGTGCCCTCCACACACAGACCAGGGGGACAACGCTGGGTTCCCCGGGTTGCCCTTGGTGACACCTGGGTACGCTCCCTGTCCCACTGGGCCAGTCCCCCTGAGCAGCTAGAACCCGGGTAGGATTCAGGATTCGTCCATGGTCCCCTGGCCCTTTGCTGAATGTCCTCTGAGTGGCAGCTTAGGGCAGGGGGATGACCTTTACAGAAAGCCCAGGGGCATTTCACTTTCAGACCCCTTTGTGAGTTTGCTCACCTCAGCTCTTTCACGGGAAAGTCACGGAGCACCTGGCCCTTTGTGTCTGCCTCAGCGCCCGCCATCACCCCTTGGCCCTCAGTCCTTAAATGCAGCAGGCTCTCACCTCTGCCTGCAGTAGCCTCCTGCCCCCCCCTTTGGGCTCCCCCACTGGCAACACACACTCTCAGCGTGCTAGTGGGCCAGGGGCACGGACTCCAGAATCCCTCGGGCCAACGCAGGAGTTCTCGCTCGGCCGTCTCCAAGCTCTGTGACCTTGACAACTAATCGAGCCTCGGGCCCCCATCTGTGAAATGGCAATAACCTCACCACTTGGTGTACAAAAACCCAGAATATGCTCAGTTCCTGCCCCTCGTTGGTGGCTACTGTTTCTGCCTGGGCAGCAGATGCAGCGAGCCTCCTTTGGCCTGTTTCCCCTGCTGCGCGGTCGCTCCCACGCCGGGGCATCGTGATCCCCTGCTCATCCGGCTGCCCCAGGTGCTCGGTGCCTCTCCCGAGGGCAGGCCCCCATCTCTCATCTCTGGATCTGCAGTGTCCAGCACAGGCCTGCACAGAGTAAATGTATTGGGAAAGCACAGGCGGCCAGGAAGGTTGGAGCTGATGCAGCATCTTTTCCCCTGGCTGAGCGTGGAGCAAGGTCAGCTCTGTGCGACAAAGCAGCTTGTCTAAAGCCACTGGGTGTTGGCTTTGCAGGGAGGTGTCGCTGGGCTTTCATGAGGACCTCCTGGAGCATGCCAGCCCCTCGTGCCTGCACTGGGCTCAGTATTTCAAAGCACTGTGTCATCCGAAGCTGACTTTGAGGGGCTGTGGCGGCAAAGGCACTCACCTCATTTCGCAGGTGGGGAAACTGAGGCCCAGCACCCTGACTACAGTTCTCTGCTGAGCCCTGCCGTTGGCCCAGCTGGTATCCTGGCCCTGTTCATCAGCTCAGTCTGATGAGTGGCCCCACTGAAGAGACTGCAGACTCTGGTTGGGACCCCTTGAGACTTAGCAGCTATTCCTTAATTCCTATATTCATTTAACACATACGCTTCAGCCATCTGCCCCATGATCCAAGCCCCATCCTGACATGGGAGGCAGCGTGAGCAGTGCCTACAGCTTCTCCCATGCTGACCCCTTCTCAGTTCAGGTGTCACCTCCTCCGAGGTGCCCTCCCTGACCACCTCACCTAAAGTCACCTCCTCCCTACTTCTCTCACCCCGATTTATTTCTCTTCTGTTTCCTCTATGGTCACTAAACACACGGTTTCTTTAGGAAAATCGGGGAAATGTAGTCATTTAAAGAAAAAAAAGTTCTAGTGTTACAACTACAGAAAACCACAGTTAACATTTTAGTGTATTTCCTTCCAGTTGGTCATCTCTGCAATGACATATCATTGCCCACATGCCATTTTATTCTGCTTTTTGTTTAACATCAATTCTAAGACTGGCTTATCTTCACATTCTAACATCTCTGGATCTTGCACCACACAACGGATGGTTTTCCAGGCGCCGTCAGCCTCTTGAAATTCACCTCTTCCAAAGGGGGTTCGTATTGCTTCTGACAGTCTCCTGGGGGCACTGCCAACTTGAGCAGACTTTACATTAAATTTAAATTTTCAGCTTTCGCTGGAGGTGTTTGGAGACCACGTCTGTAGTGCAAATTCAGACTCCAACCTGTATGGGTACGGGCTTCTTCACATTCTCAAGGGCGATTTTGTTTCCTCCCTGCACCCAGGGCGAGGATGAGACATACTTTCTGCCTGGAAAGGGCTGTTTTTCATCCCCCATGCATTTAGGGAATAGTCCCTTGGGGTCCTAGCTACTTAGATGCCCGTTGTTAGATAACCCATCCTGGGTATTTTTTCTTCCTTCCTGATACATGAAATTGTGGCACGTCTTACAATCAATGGTGTCTTAAATGTGATGATATGCCGTCACTAGAAACGTTCCTCAGATGACCATTAATGCATTGTGAGCATCTTTTTTTTTTTTTTAAGATTTTATTTAGTTATTAGAGAGAGAGAGAGGGAGAGCGCCCAAGCAGGGGGAGGGGCAGGCAGAGGCAGAGAGAGAAGCAGGCTTCCCGCCGAGCAGGAGCCCCATGCGGGACTCGATCCAGGAACCCGGGATCATGACCTGAGCCAAAGGCAGACGCTTAACGACTGAGCCACCCAGGTGCCCCTGTGAGCCTCTTTTGAACAGCTCTGCAATATTACATCAGTGTTGTCCAGTATTCCCCTCACCCATTCCTTCACTGCATCTTGGGGTTATTTCTGTTCTTCTCTGAGATAAGGAGCCTCGTGGTCTTTCCCACCACACACAGCTGCTTTCTCATCCAGAGGATTTCTTCGGGGTAATTCCCAGAAATCAAATTGCCGGGCTGAAGGAGTGAATATGCTGATACATGAAGCCTGGCGTTTTTCGAGGCGGATTTTTTTTCTTTTTTCTGTGTTGCCTTTGCAGACACGGGGTTGGTGCCTTCTTCACAAGTTGAGGGTGTGAGTCCACTTCTGCTGACAGTGGCTGGTTCAGTGCTTTTGGTCCGGAAACCTCTGTAAGGGTGAAGGATTAATGTGAAAGGAGGTAAAGAGGCTGGAATTAGAAGCTAACTTGGCTATAGGGCCGCATAAAATTAATAGCCAACTAAAAACCAGGACTGGTTTGGACGTGAGAGTGTGGCCATGCGGGGTCGGGGGTCTCTTTGGGTTCGATCACGGTAACCTCCAAATGTTATGAATCGATAAGCTGAGCCCTGGGATAATTTAATGTGAGGCATTCAAATGGAGTTATGTATTACTAATTCAAACTGATTTCGTGTTGGGGGGGCATGGGTGGGAAACTTCTGAATTACGGAAGGTAGGTATTTCAGTTGCCAATTGTTTGCATTTACGTCAGTGCCACTTAACTATTTTAAGCAGTTTGCCTCTGTGATGTCAGCTTTCTTCTCCAGTGTTGTTTGCATGATTAATTTACTCAGCGAAAGAGCTCTTTGTTTTACAAAGGTGATCCTCAGTCCTGCTCTCACCTGGATTTGTTGTAAATTCATAGGCAATGTGTCCTGGATGAATGATGTGTTTACTGGGGGCAGGAATGGACACTTGTAACATTGTAATCCCAAATTCACCATGGATTGTCTTTTACCCTTTCAGTGATGGGTGCTAAGTAGCCCAACAATCACCGACAAACACTCGCCTCTGCAGGTCATTCAGAGCCAGGCCCTGGGGTTACCCTGCTCACAGTTTGGGGCCCTCGCCTCGAAGGGGCTGTCAGTCCTGCCGTGCAGGGGACAGACAGCACAAGAGTGTGCACTCCCTGCCCAAAACCGTCAGTGGCTTCTCGTTTCTCGGGAAAAATCCACAGGCCTTACCATGCCCTTCAAGGCTCTGGTTGACCGGCCTCGGCTTATCTCTCTGATCTCATCTCACCACTTGCTGGGCTCCTGCCGCCCTACCAGCCTCTTTCTGTTCCTCAAATCCCCAGACCATTGCTGCCTCGGGGGCAGTCATGGAGTTGTGTGCTGGGCAGACGCCTTCACGGGGAGATTGTGACAGCCTGGGCCCACCCTCGTGCTTCAAGCCACCCGCTCGTCACTCGGCGGCTGTGCGCGGGCCGTCTGCTAGGCTCTGGCGTGGGCTAGGCTCTGTGGCCCCTGTTGCCAAGGACTGATTATTCTTCTCTGCGAAGGGCACGAACACGAAACACTGAGCCACCCTGAAAGAGCCAGAGAGTGAACCTGAGGTCACGGGGCTGAAAGCAATGGAAAGTCAGATAGAAACTAGAAGAAAGAAGCATCGCATGTAAGCTGTGGGGTGAAGGTTGGAGGACAGCTGGGTGATCAGGGGAGAAGGCTCTACTATTGGCTGTAACAGAACTCTGAACGAGACCACCGCTGAGGGGGGTGCCCACGCTGTGTTTCGGCGTGAGCCAAAGAAGGACCGCCTGGATTTAAACCCCAGCTCTGTCATTTAGCCAGCTCTGTCTCTCCAACCCAATGACTCAGCCTCTCTGAGGCTAGGTTTTCTCATCTGTAAAGTGGGGATAATAACACCTACTTCACAGGACAGAGGGGAGAAAGTAGAGACATAGGGCCTGGCACATTTAGGAGATGATCAACGTCTGAGCACAATCCCCTGCCCTCTGCCCACCCCCCCGAAGCTGCGGCTGGAGAGCAGAATGCCTGGCAGGGGGTGGGCCGCTCTCAGATCCCTGTTAGAGTCAGGCGGCCTGTAACTAAAGGTGAACTGGGCGCCTGGCTGGCTCAGTCAGAGGAACATGTGACTCTTGATCTTGGGGTCGAGTTCGAGCCCCAAGTTGAGTGTAGGGGTCACAAAAAATTTTTAAAAAATAAAAAATAAAGGTGAACTTATATAACTAAAATAAATAACCCAGGTGACTGGCACCTGACTCACTTCTCCCTAGGCCTGGTTCTGCTTTATAGATTAAGTGGGCCAGGTGGGTCCGGGGTCTCCAAGTGCAGGTCCAAGTGCAGATCCCTGGGCCTCCACCCAGACTCACCAAATCAGACACCTGGAGGGTGGGCCCTGGAATCCAAATTACTTTAAAGCTCCCCCAGATGATTCCATGTGCAGCCAGGTCTCAGAACTATCAGCCAGGTGCTCCTTGAAAAGCCTTTGCAGCCCTTAGAGTCTGTGTTTCCATCCCCATCAAAAACCCTGTGCCGCATGGGGGTCTCATGTCAGTACGTCTGGGCCAGAGTTCATCTGATTTCGTCAGAGATAGGGAGGTTTCCCTGGTGCTGCTCATTCCCGAGGTGTGGGGAAGGGACTTTGTCCCACCCCCAGGTCGTGGTGAGGCCCCGCTGGCCCAGCACAGGTCCCAGCCACCTGGAGCAGCAAGATGGGTGAGGCCAGTGCTGGGCGACAGGGAGGTGAGGAGGTGACACACTCCTGAACAGCTGGTTTTTCTCCTTTCCTTGTGGCCTTGGTCAGAGCACTGAAATCCACGTTTGGGCCGAGGAGAGCACAAATCCAGCCAGCAGATCCTGCGTACTTCCCGTGAGCAAGGGCTCTAATCACGGCTGTCTTGTCCCAGGGTGGCAGTGTGGAAATCTGGATGTAATCATCCGTTCGCTTCTTTCCTGCATCCCCCCACCTAAACATGGGGACCGACGGGGACATGGGGGAGAGGACAGGGACATTAGACCTGGGGTGAGTCTGCCTCCCTGTGGGCACCTCTCAAGTCTGGCTTCTAAGCACACACGGCAAGTGGTGGCCTCTGGCCTCATTTCCTTTTCCCCAGAAGCAAATGGCCCAGCAGAACTGGCGAAGGGCGTAGTTGTAGGCCATTCTTCCAGCGCCTTGGTACAGTTTTCCTGTCCTGCCTTCTGTCCTCTGGCCTAGTGCCCTTGTGTGGAGAGTCTCGCCTCTGGTTGTGGCATAGAGTTGTGATTTATTTATTTTAAAAGATTTTATTTATTTATTTGACAGCAAGAGAGAGCAGGGGCGAGGAGGAGAGGAAGAAGCAGGCTCCCCACTGAGCAGGGAGCCTGGCGTGGGGCTCGATCCCAGGACCCTGGGATCATGACCTGAGCCAGAGGCAGATGCTTAACCGACTGAGCCACCCAGGCACCCCTAGAGTTGTGGTTTAAAGCCTGGGTTTTAGGCAAGGCAGCCCTGGTCTGGATCCCACCTTTGCTGCTTACCTGCTACAAGATCTTGGGCAAACAGCTTCGTCATTGCACCCATCTTTTCGCTTCCTGTAAAAGGGGCTGCTGAGGGATTGGCCGAGTGCAGGCTTGGCAAGCCCCAGGCCCATGACCGTCAGCCACTCTCCTGTTTAGAAGGGTGGTTCTTTTTATTTATCTATTTATTTTTAAGATTTTATTTATTTAACAGAGAGAGACACAGCGAGAGAGGGAACACAAGCAGAGGGAGTGGGAGAGGGAGAAGCAGGCTTCCCGTGGAGCAGGGAGCCCGATGTGGGGCTCGATCCCAGGACCCTGGGATCATGACCTGAGCCGAAGGCAGACGCTTAACGACTGAGCCACCTAGGCGGCCCGGGTGGTTCTTTTTATAGTAGTCTTGTTGTCTTCAGTCTTTATCCGCTGATTCTCTTCGACGGCTTCTGGAGAATGCTGCCCACCAGCTGCAATGCTTCCTCACCAACCCGATCCCTCTCTCTCTCTCTGAGAAGGAGCTCTTCCAGAAGCTGTATTCTAACCTCTGTCAAGATCAGCGTTCTGTGTGTAGCTTTGGAGAAGGGAATCTGATTGTATTGCCTCTTTGGTGGGAAAGGTTATTTTCTACTTGGTCTGTGCTTAAAGCCAGCCCCCACTGTGTGACAGAGGCATTTCCTGCATGGTCCTCAAGGGAGGTGGTGGTGGGGCTAACACACGGATTGTCTGTGAATTCTCAGAGCCTGGACCCCATCTCTAGATGGCATATGAAAGAACAGAGGCATTAGTCAGGGTAGGGACCCAGGGGTTACCCCCTAAGACCGGATTTGAGCTTTTATTTTGTTTCAGTCCCTCATTTGGACACAGCTGGATTCTTCTAAGATAAATAATATCAGGGGCCTGGGTGGCTCAGTCGGTTAAGCATCTGCCTTCGGCTCAGGTCATGATCCTGGGGTCCTGGGATCGAGCCCCGCATCGGGCTCCATGCTTGGCGGGGAGTCTGCTTCTCCCTCTCCCTCTGCTGCTCACCCTGCTTGTGCTCTCTCACTCGCTTTCTCTCTCTCTCTCTCAAATAAATAAATACAATCTTTAACAAAAAAGATCAATAGTATCAGATGCTCACATGGCACAGACCGGGGCCAGGCACCACTGCAGTCGATGCTCACGGTGGGTGGTGACTTGTTCAAGCTCAGGTAGCCAGAAAGCAGCAGAGCCAGAGCGCATGGGTGGTCTGACTCCGGAGCCCAGCCCTGAACCATCTGTGGGTGGCCTCTCATCACCCATGGAGGAGAAAGTAGTATTTATTGAGCACCTACCATGTGCCAAGCATGATGTAGGAATAACTACGATCTCAGATCACCTCCTTCCTCCCAAGGAACGTTGGAGAGGGAGAGAGGGAGAAGGGGTAGCAGGCAAGAAGGTTGCCTTCCTCGGCTGGGTTCTGCCAGGCTGGAGCCGAAAGGACAGGTGGCTGATGAGGCCAGGCTGAGCGGGCTCATCCCAGGAGGAGGGCAGAGGCTGCAAGGCAGGCAGCTTCCGGCTCTCCCCACCCGGTGCAGCCGCCCCCAGGGAGACAACCCGCACAGACAGCCCAGAACACATCTGCTCATTAGTGGCCACCAGGGCAGCCGGCCCAGCCCCTGTGCCACGGGGCCTCCCTGAACTTGGAAGCCCACAAGCCGGGGCACCTTGGGCCCAGCCCCCAGAGCTCCTTTCCCCGGGCTCGCTGTGCAGGCAAGCAGAGCCCAGGTGTCTGCCAGCTTTGGCTTCAGGGTCATGGCCTCCACATCTAAGCCCCCGTGGGACAACCGGGAGCTCCAGCTCAGCAGCGTGGGTTGTAGAATCCAAAAACCAATTAATTTGGGGCTTGGGGGAAAATCTGTCTGACTGGTGGTTTGGCCAGATCTTCAGAAGAGCCAGTCAGGTTGTATGCTGTGACTATGGTTCAGGGCTGGCTACTGCCAAGTAGGACGGGACCCCCTGCGATGCTTCTTGCCCCACTTAGCAGTGTCGTCCCTCCTGACTGCAGTGGGGGCATATCCAGGGTGAGGGGCTCCTCGGGCAGCTGTGTCTCCATCAATTCCTCCAGACCTACTTTCCTTGCATGCCAAGCAACAGCCCCCATTGAGCCCACAGGCAGTTCCAAGGATGCCTTATCACATTCAAGGGCTGAGGTGTCGGTCAGGGTCAGAGCCAAGCACCTGGAAGAGCCTTGGGATGGGGTGGGGGGGGGATGTGTGCAGAGGCAGGAGTGAGCTTTCTGCCTGGCTGCCTTACAGATGAAGGGTCTGGTGTACACAGGATCCCTGGGGCTGATTTGGGACCAGGGAGCTGGAGCACCAACTACATTTCCACTCTGATCATTCTAGAACAAGTGCAGGGAGCATGAGTTGGGGGTTCCCCCCAAATTGTAACCATCTGGGATCTTCCCCCTTCTGTTAGGACTTTTTTCCTTTAGTGGGGTTGGCAGCGTATGTGAGACAGGTGCCCTCATCAGCCCCTGGGCTGGTGGTCCTGGTTTCCCGGATGACTTCTGTGCAGTTCTCCAGGTCTAGCAGGGGTGTGAGCGCCCCCATGCCGGCTGGCGGGGCACCGGATGCTCCTGCTACAGCTGGTCAGGGAGCCGAGCTAACTGGAGCCAGAGCTGTGTGCAGATGTCGGGTGGGTCTTGGAGAAAGAGGCAGACAGGCCCCACCTTTGGTTTGCTGGTCCATGCGTACCCACACACATACAACACGCACACCTGCTTCCCTAAGGAACGCTGACCTCGGTTGCAACCAGAGCAAGGGCTGAGGGAAGTTGAGCTAAGGAGTGCCCAGCATGGGAGGGCCCCTGGGAGGAGGAGAGGTGAGTCATGAAAGGTGGGGACAGGGACAATGGGTTTGCCTCCCAGAGCCATTTCTGCAGATGGAAATTCGAGGGTCTCTGAACCTTCTGGGAAGGGCTTTGTACCTGGAGGTTGCCAACCAGGGACCCCCTTCTCGAAAACTCTGCCGGTCCTTACTCAGAGGCTTCCCTGTTTCCACGGCAGGCGGGCACTCTTCTTGTCATTCCAGGCTTTCTGCTCCTGATCGATTCCTCTAACCACATCCCCGATTCCTCTGTGAAACAGTCCTATGTAGCCTTGCCAATCACTTCTCGGGCTTCCCCACCTCTGGGTCTTTGTTTCTCTCAGTGGCCCCCTGCCTTGAATGCGTCCATCTTCTCTCCCTCCCTCCTTTGGGTTTGCCAGAATCCTCTTCATTTTTTGAGCCCAATTCCAGCTCCACCTCCTTCTAGACACAGCTGGCTGCCTACTTCACTTTACTGTGATGACTCTTTGCTCCGAAGCCCTCTCTTCTCCTGAGGTCCCAGTTTCCTTCTCCGCAAACTGGGACGATACCATGGAGCTTTGTTGCGAACGTTATTTGGGATGGCCTTCGTGGAAGTGGCCACCACACTGTAGACACTCAATAAATGCTTCTGTGCCAGGCACCAGGATACAGACAGAAGACGAAATCCCCAGGCTCTCGGGGGGACGGAAGGCCAGAGGAGGGGCACCTTACTTCTCCGGAGAGGGGTGGGGTGGCAGGGGAGCCCCACGGCGTGGTTGAGTTTGGAGGAGGAGTGGATCTGCTGGAGAGCAGCAGGGGAGAGGGAGTGAGGGAAGGCAGTGGGGCAGAAGGAGGAGGGTGCGAATGATTGCGGGGCACCATGTGGGGAGCAGCAGGGAGGAAGGAGGCTGCGGCAGCCTCCTTTATAGGAGGCAGAGGTGGGGAAGTCACTGAAGGTGCTGAGGGACCGCACCCATCCTGACTGTGTGTGGAGCGGGTTTGGGAGAGGCAGACTGGGCGGCCAGGAGGTGGAGGAGGCTGCTGACCCCAGGGGAGGCTGCAAGTGGGCGGCCCTGACTTAGGCTTAGTCAGAGACCCTGGGCCTGGCCCTGCAGCCTCACGTCACCCTTCCTGGAATAAAAAGTGGAAAATTTGGATTTGCTTTTTGGAGTTGTCTTGAACTTGACCTGGGTAAAGAAGATGGATGGGTCCTTCCTTAGGATCCCCAGCTTTCATTTCCCTGTGCGTCCCCACTTCCTTGCATTCATGGTTGTAATCACGTTGTGCACGGAACTCCTTGTTTGTCTTTGGCTGGGTGGTTTCTCCTTCCCGGACTTTGCTCTTCTGTTGGGGTTCCCACTATCTCCTCTGCTCCCTCAGCAGAGGAGGTTTCCAGCGGGCAGAGTGTGTAGAGGCTTTGAACACCAGCAACATGGGGGCGGGGAGGGTGGAGGGGCTCCTGTCCCTGGGCCCAGAGGGTCTGTTTTGCTCACTCGTATGCAGGACAGTGCCTGGCAGCTGGTTTGTGGTCAATAAATAATGGCTAAAGGGATGTGTATTGAATGCCGGAATCTCTGTCCCTCCAAGTTCCGGGTGTGTTGTGGGTGTCCGATACCTCCCCCCCATAGTCTGAATGTCCAGGATTTGGGGGCAGGGACAGGAGCCACAAGCAGTGGAGGAGATGATCATCTCAACCCTCATCAGGGTTGAACTGTCCCATGTCTTTGGTGCATTCCAGGAGGTCCTGTGCTGTTGGGAGTGTGGCCAGGTGACCTGGGACTGTGTATGCAGGGAGTGGGGTCGGGTGGGGATGGGGGGCACTGGAGAGGTGTTGCCTCTGTTCCACATCTCTGAAATGTGCTGGCCTCTTTCTGGAAATTGCTCACTTTTCTTATCAGTGGGCTTGGCAGCCGTTGGGGAATTTCTGGAGGGGGGGTGGGTCCTGGAAGGAAACCACCAGTGGACTGCCGTTTCCCCAGAAGCCCAAACACAAAGGGTGGTGTGGAGCCAGTGCCGCAGAGGGGCTGTTTTTTCCCTTAAGAACAAGCCAGATCATGTCAGAAGAAGGAAGGCTGTTATCCTTCAATTTCATGTGTTGTTCTGACCAATGGTCTCAATATGTATGGGATTGTAGCAGCTGGGGGTGGGGATGGACAGAGCAGAGATTCTGCACTAATTAGTGGCAGGCCAGTGGGTGTGATGCCCCCAGGTGCAGTGAGGAGGACCCAGATTGCTCTGAAAAGCCATAGGGCAACCCTGGGATTCGGGTGTTATGTCCTCACGTGCCTAGAAGTACTCAGAGAGGTTAAGAGCTTGTGTGAGGTCACACAGCATGTGTCGATGGAGCTGTGATTTGAACCCAGCCAGGTCTCTGGCTCCAAAGTCATGTTAAAGCATCCCCCTCGTAGGGAGGAACAGCAGGCTATCCATCCCCAGTCTTGTTCTAGATCATTCCAGAGATGGGAGCTTACCATTTTCCATTGGAGCTTACCGTTTTCACATCCCAGCCTCCTCGGGGGTGCCTTCTCCTTCGTGTGCTGCTGAGTCCGTGAGAGGTCGGCTTCCCCCACCTGTGAGTGTTGGGGACTTGGATGTGGGGCCCTCCTGGTGGGATTTCAGGCCACCACCCGCTCTGCCTTTGGATAGGGCAGTGAGAACCGGGGGTTCCTGGGGAGGAGGGGAGGCCTCTCTACTGGGAACCGGGAAGAGGACCAAAGTCAATACCGAAAGCTGGAAAGGAATCAGCAGCCACAGGATGCAGGCTCCATCAGTGACAGGCCTGTGTTTGTCCTTGGCTCTGTCAGAGCTGACAGGGCAGGTCGTCGCTGGGCCGCACCAGCAGACAGAGCCACAGGGCCGTGCTTACCCCGTGGTGAGGACCCTTGCCCTCCCTCCCCACTCCCAAGCCTGCCCCAGAAAGCAGACTGACTAGCTGCATATAATCCCCCAGAGCCACCGGGCCTGAGGTTTCCCTACAGGCAGAGAAACAACTTTGTTTGCATCCTAGGGAGCCAAAGAGCAGTGGAGAAAGCTGGGGACAGAATCCAGTTCACGGGACAAACGTCCATGGGGTGCCTGCTGAGAGCAGGGTCCCCAGATAGAGGAAATGGCCACTTCACCCCCACTGGGCAGGGGGGGGCTACTATCAGGGAACAGAAAGCAAGTGTTGGAGAGGATGTGGAGAAATGGAAACTCTTGTGCCCCATTGGTGGGCATGTAAAATGGTATGGCGGTTCCTCAAAAAATTAAAAATAGAACTAGCATATGATCCAGCACTCCCACTCCTGGGTAAATACCCACAAGCACGGGAAGCAGGGGCTCAAGGAGACATTCGCCTCCCTCCCCCCCACCCCGTGTTCACAGCAGTGTTATTCATAGGAGCCAAAAGTTGGAAGCAGCCCAAGTGTCCACCGACAGATGAATGGATAAGCAAAATGTGGTGCATACACACAATGGCTTATTATTATTCATCCTTAAGAAGGAAGGAAATTCTGACACATGCCACAACATGGTTGAACCTTGAGGACATTATGCTACATGAAATGAGCCAGTGGCCACAACAACGAAAATACTGTATGCTTGCACTTATAGGAGGTACTCAGAGTGGTCGAAGTCATGGAGACAGAAAGGAGGATGGCGGTTGCCAGCGGCTGGGGGATGGGAGGAGGGGAGTCAGTGTTTAATGAGGGCAGGTTTCAGTTTTGTAGGATGAAAAGAGCTCCGGGGATGGATGGTGGTTGCGCAACAATGGGAGCGTGCTTAATGCCACGGAACTGCGTGCTTAATCCTGGTCGGGATGGTGAATTTTTAAATTTTTAAATTCTGTGCATTTTACCACAAGTAAAAATGATAATAAAATGCTAACTCAAAGCAAAGTGTGCTACAGGAACCCAAGGGGCTCCTACAGGCCAGATTGGCACCAAGTGCGCTTTACATCGTATTCTTTAATCCCCCCACCAACCTCCGTGCGACAGCTCTCTCCTTGCAGACAAGGAAACTGAGGCTTAGAGGCATGACAAGTCTTGCCCCAGGCCCCAGCTGGGAGGTAGCAGGCCAGGATTTAAACCATCTTTCTGTTCAAGGCAATAGGTCTGTCATGCTGTAGCACTGGCGCTCTGGGTGCTGGGGTCTTAGGATTTCAGTTGGGGGCCCTCACATCCATCAGAGAGCAGAACAGAGGAGCTGTGTGATTGGTTGTGAAAATGCACAGACAGATCAGAGAGGGCTGAGTCATCGAGGAGGCTTCCTAGAGGATGAGGTGAGATTGGATAAGGCTGGAGGTCGTGGCTGATCTGCCACTGTCACCCTGGGCCCCTAAGAGGTGCTCAGTCATTATACGCTGAGGGAGTGAATGGGAGCAGGTTGGCGGGGGGTGGGGGGGTGGGTGGCTTCCTTAGGAGGAAAGCTGCAGGAAATGACAGGGAAGGAGCTGGGCCTGGAGGGGCAGCCCTCACCCCATCCTCCCCCCTGAGGCTTAGCACTGCCACACACTGTTTCATTGAGTCCCCCAGCTGTCCTCACTGGGGAGATGTTATATGACCTGTGGCGCCGGGGGGGACGGGGGGGGACAGTCCTTCGGTCCTTCCTCCCCTCTCAACAAGCACTGCAGCTGGGGGCTTTGACAATGTTGGTGGGTGGGGGCCACTGAGATTTGCCCACCCAGAGATCCCTGGGCTTGGGTAGGGTTGTCAGATTTTGCAAATAAAAATACAGGATGCCCAGTTGAAGTTGCATTTCAGGTCAACAATGAATAATTTGTAGTGTAAGTCTGTCCCCCTTATTGCATCTATACTTGATGTGGCAATGCCTAGTCTTGGGCTTTGTGGCAGCTGGATGGACACTCTGGGTGTCCCAGGTCAGGGGCCTCCTGGCCTCAGGCAGAGCTAGGCCTGCCACAGATGTTGGTCACTGAGTACCAGACCCAGCCTGTCATAGCTCTGCTGAGATGTACGAGGCAGCCTCAGTCAGGCTTCTACCCAGTGTGAGCTGACCAGGCAGAGAGCAGGGTCCCTAATTGGCAGGTGTGAGTAACACCTGCAGTTCTCCTGACACTGCTCTGTGTGCCAGGCAGAGCCTGCAGTGAGAGACTGGCACTGTCAACATGTTGGGATCTGTGTTCTAGACTGGGCATGCTGTTCTCTGTGTGTGCCTTCCCCGTCATCTACCTATATTGCCCAGGTCCTCAGACAGCCCTCCAGCTGCCAAGTTCCCTTTCCTATGTCTACCATCCCATGCCTACCTTACCAGGGCACCCCAGGTCATGAAAAGCATGCCCTTGTCTTTGGGCCTCCCAATCAAACTTTCTCCAGCTATTCCCTCATCCATCCATCCATCCATCCATCCATCCATCCATCCATCCATCCATCCACTCATCCATCCATCCACTCACCCATCCAATCCATCCATCCACTCACCCATCCAATCCATCCATCCACTCACCCATCCAATCCATCCATCCAACCGTCCATCCATCCATCCATCCATCCAACCATCCATCCATCCATCCATCCATCCATCCATCCATCCATCCATCCACTCACCCATCCAATCCATCCAATCCATCCATCCACTCACCCATCCAATCCATCCATCCAACTATCCATCCATCCATCCATCCAACCATCCATCTATCCATCCACTCACCCACCCATCCATCCATAACAAATATTTGTTGAAGCTTACTATGGGCCACTGTAGCAGGCACTTTGATGTATAACACCTCAGCTGCTAGGAGGGATTAAAAGAATTCTAAAATGTGAGTGGCTGACAATAGCCATCAGCTCTAATTTTTGGTTAACTGTAGGTCCTGATCTCCTATGTTTAAGCATCAGGTGATTTTTAGCCTTGCCCTTTACATATCAGCCATTCCTCTGGGGAAGTTCCTGGAGATGGCTTCAGGCTGTGAGGAAAAGGGGGTAGAAATACAGAGGGGCCAGGAGTCCGGTGGAACCTCAACAGTCAGGAGCTAAGCTGGTTCTGCCAAGGTGTGGTTTCTACCTTATCCCGGTGCCCACTTAGGAGGTGTTAGGGCACAGACCCTAGAGGTCTCAGACAGCTAGCGCCTGGCACAGCTCCTGCCCATTGCAGGTGCTCAGTGTAGACTTGAGTCTGACTGTCAGAGAAAACTGAGGTCAGAAAGGGGAGGTATCTTGTCTGAGGTCACACAGCTTGCAACTGTTGGTGGGAAGGTGGTAGACTGTGCTAAAGAGTATGGATTTTTGTTGTCAGGCACAGCTGACTTGAGGCCTCATTTGCCTATCAACCTCACTGACCTATCTGTAAATAGAAACTCACAGCTCCCTCTTAGGCTATGTGGCCATAAAGGATGCCATGATGACGTTATAAAGTGCTGGGCACAGGACCTGGCTCGCTGCCAGCCTGAACTGCCAGGGGGAGGGTGGACCTCGGTCTCAGCTAAGAGGCTCCCCACAGCCTCACCTGCCCCAAACATGTCCCTTCTGAGCTCTGGACCTCTCCTCCTCCCTGTGGGAGGTGAGGGCAGGCAGGAGTGGGACCAGAGGGGCAGAGAGCAGAGTTCCGACCTCTGGCCTGCCAGCTGCTGTGTCTGGTTTACACAACTACTGGGAGAGTACATTATTTCCTGCAATTTATGGCCCTGAGTGCCAAGACTGGGCTTGTTACCTGCCCAGATTGTGCCAGGGGGCTTTGTGCGGACCCCTCCCCCTGCAGGGGCTTTGATCTGGGTTACCCGGAGGTCAGTACCAGATCTGTGGTGGTGGATCACCACACAGACTTTCAGAAGCCAGGAGCGTGTGTCTCCATGGGAGGGGAGGGAGAGGAGAGAGCATGAAGGGAGGGGAGAACACAAATGAGCTGGCAGGTCGTGGGGATTAGCGATAATGACGAAGACTTAGTATTTGATGACAAGACAGATCCAACTTCATTTCTGGGAGATTGTTCTTTGTAAGCTATGATGGCAGAAAGATAAATCTAGCTAATTCAATAATTTAGAATAGAAACGAGCCTTTTTTTTTCTTTTTTCCTAACGTGTTTCCCAAGTAGATGAATTTCTTTTGGAAAATGAAAGCTCATCCTCTAGCTAATTACTTGGGCCTCTGCCTTTCCAGCAGGGCCATTCCCAGGAACATCTGGTTAGCTCCTGCTGGCTGGCTGGCTGGCTGGGGCTGCAGCGACCACAGAGAAGGATGATAATGAAGAAAGGAGGCTCTCATTAAGACAAGTAGCAAAAAGTGTTTTTTAAACCCCTCTAGTAAGTCTTTTATAGTGGCAATACCTAGACTGAGCAGCAAAGTCAAGAGTTTGAGTATGTTTGGGAATAAGTAAATGCCAGGGGCCTTTCTTGGTAGCTGCCAGCAAATAGTTGCAAGAAAGGAAGGCTTGGGAACGGTACCCAGGCTTTGGAGAAGATTCTAATCATGTGCTACCCTTATCTGGCACCTTGGGTGAGGACTCCGGAGTTTGACCCTTTTCCTGAGGAGGGGTAAATCATTCCATTCTAGTAGTTGTGAATTAAAGATCTCCAGCCCTCCCCTGAAGACTTCCACTGGCCTAGGACCTTAGGTTTTGATCAACTGGATGATCCAAATGTCTTGGAAGAATCAGGCACCTACTGAGCTGTCATTAATCATTTAGTCTTGCATGTGAATGAGGCTGCGAGACCCACTCCTGAGAATAGGATGAGATCACAGGAAGTGGGGAGAGAACACATGGGCATGGAGGGGTGGAGAAACAGAATAGAAAGATGACCCAAGTGCTAAAGGTGAACTCCATCGAGTTTTGCTATTTTTTTTTAAAGATCTATTTATTTATTTGAGAGAGAGAGTACGTGTGACTGGGGATAGGGGCAGAGGGAGAGGGGAAGAGAGAATCTCGAGCAGGCTCCTCACTGAGTGTGGAGCCCGACGTGGGGCTCAGTCCCATGACCCTGAGATCATGACCTGAGCTGAAATCAAGAGTCAGACATTTAACCGACTGAGCCACCCAGGTGCCCCTAGTTTTGCTATTTTAAGTAGATTCATAAAGTTCGGTAGGCAAGAATGGTTTTTGTTTTTCCATCCATAAATTGGTGGCACTCTTTCTTTTCCAATCCAGGTGGACACCAAGTATCAAATGCCCACAGGGCTGTTAGAGCTTGTCAGGCCCTGTCTAGTAATACCATCTGTTTAGATAACACTGCAGGCTCATGGGAATAAGTTTCCGATGCTAGCTGATGTCCTAGGACATTGGTCAGCTATCTGCTCCACACCCTCCCCTGTTCCTGCCTGGCTTTTGAGCACTGTCTTCCTGGGGTCTAAGCACCTCTGGGGGGCCTGGCTTCCAACTTGCCCCTGCTTCCTCTGGGATTTGGCAGGAGAAACCCCTGGTTTAGTCATCAGCTGTCTTGCTCCCCTCCCCCCGCAGTCTCCCCACATCTCCTGTTATCTGAGAGCAGATTACCCTTCTAGCCTCTGCTCTGGTGGACCCCACTTTGCTTGGACTCCTGCAACAGCCTCTTAACCTCCATTCCCACATCTGCCCCTTGCAGCCCATTTCCCACACAACAGCCAGAGCAGTCGTTTTAAAACCTGAATCAAACATGTCACCCTCCTGGTTTGAACCTCCTCAGTAGCTCCCTGTCACACTTGCAGCAAATTCCAATCTCCTTATCAACACCTAGAAGCCCCCACTTAATCTGGCTCCCATCTCCCTCTCTATCCTTGTGTGGCCTCACTTCCCCCTGCTTATGGCACCCCACCCGGGTCTCCGGTCTGTTCTTAAGAGGACCAAGTCTCTTTCTGCCTTAGGAGTTTGTGCATGCTTGTTCCTCTGCCTGAGATGGGCCCCTCTCTTTCCCCTCTCCGCCAGACTTTTCCAAGATGGATTCCTTTTCACCCTCCAGGACATAGCTTAAATGTCACCTCCTAACAGAGACTTTTTTCACTACCCAGTCTCAAGTAATGTGTAAGAAGACAATTCGTAACTATTGACGTGCTTGTTTGTCTACTGGTTTATTATCAGTTCTCTTCTCTGAGCTGTTCACCACTGTGTCCCCAGCTTAGCACACCCGAGGGCTCTGTATCCGTCTGAGCAGGCTAGGCTCTGCAGCAGTAACAGACAATTTCCAAATCTTAGTGCCCTCAAACCACAAAGGTTTGATTCTCGGTCATGCTAAATGTCCATCACGGGTTGGCAGTGGGAGCACTGTGCACATTGGAGGATCCCAGGCCATGGAGCAGCCACCACCCAAACATTCCCAGTGGCCATACCATAGAGACAAGAGCTATGGGGGGTGTTGCATTGGCAAATAAGTTCTCCGGCCCCCAAGTGATGTATGTGTCCCTTCCACTCACAAGTCATTGGTTAGAGCCAGTCACATAGCCTCACCCCACACAGGGAGCTAGAAAGTTCCATCCTACCCAGTGCCCAGGAGACAGAAGGGGAAATATTTGTTAAACGGCACTGAAGACTCACACAATACTCAGTAAATACTTTTGAAGGAGGGAGTGTCTAGAATGTTCTTTCCACAGCTGCAAAGGGTTAGAGGGATCTTGCAGGACCTGCTGGGGATCTTGTATTCCTGTTGCTCAGGCCCCTGGCTCTGCTGGGAGGCAGAGTTCCCTCAAGAGCAGCTCAGCAGACAAGAGCATCCTTTTTTTAAATTTTTAAATTTTTTTTTATTTGACAGAGAGAGACACAGTGAGAGAGGGAACACAAGCAGGGGGAGTGGGAGAGGGAGAAGCAGGCTTCCCACTGAGCAGGGAGCCCGATGCGGGGCTCAATCCCAGGACCCCAGGATCACGACCCGAGCCGAAGGCAGACGCTCAACGACTGAGCCACCCAGGCGCCCCAGACAAGAGCATCCTGAGGCCTGACGTGGTCAACCATAGAGGCAGCCACAGCCGGGGTCTACCAATGCTCTTTCTCTGGTGGGACCTGTTCCTGCGCTGGGGGACAGCCCCTCCAAAAGAGCCCTGCCATTATCCTCTGAACCTACCACACTCCGCTAGGGCCTGGCATATCCAGGAGCTGAATAGATGATCCTATTGGTAAAGTCCAGAGTCTCAGAGTACTGAGGTTGCGGTGGGTTGACAGGTGGTTGGGGGTTGAGAGGCAGATCATCTTGCATCACATCCTGTTACTAATACAAAGGAATGGCCGTTATACACCCCAGGAAAGGTGAGAAAATCTCCTGTGATTGCTGCGGGTGTAGGGATGGGAGAATCCTGGTCTGTCCATGACCCCGATCTTGTTCCCGGAACTACTCATTTCACTTGGGCAGGATGCTGCAGGCAGCTCACCTGTCTAAACTTCCCCTGGATCAAATGGCATCACTCCAGCAGCTCCTTTCCACCAGGCTGCACACAGCATTGGCTGCACAATGGTGGTGTCACACGCTCCCCAGTATCATGGACCTTGGGAGGAAATGCTGTCCCTGGGTTGAGTATACTTCGTGGCCTCTGGTGGCAATCACCCTTAAAGCTAACATTTGTTAACACTCACCAAGATCGAAGCACTCCCAAGTTCCTAGTGGGCATACTGCTCCTATTGGGCAGCTGGGGATACTGAGGCCCACGGAGGTTAAGGAACTTCCTAAAGTAACTGCTAGTTATATGGTAGAGTCCTCCTTTGACCCTATGCTTCTTGATTCCAAACCTGTGCACTTAATCATTACTCCATAAGAAGAGGTTTGGGTCTGATTCCCTTTCTAGGTTATAAATACTAGGGAACTTCCTTTTTGAGACACCTGTTTCCCTTATCCCTTACAGTACCTAGCAGCATTTCTGCCATATACTTAGCATGCAATAAGTCTTTAATGTGTATGAGAAAGATAAAACAGAAAATTTAAGGTAGTCTAACACTAGGATACTCTTCCAGTTACATGTTTTTTTTTTTGTTAAGCCTGCTACTGAAGACTGAGGTAAAACTTCTGTGCTTTTTGATACAGCTATTGGTGGAGGGCTGTTAGTTGCTTTTACACAGCCATCTAATCATGGCACAAAGCGTCTCATATAATACACATGTATCCTAATGTATAATTATTAAGAAGGGAAGAATTAGCTAGCTGCTGTGGATATCAGTTTGAACAAGAGAGTTTCCATCCCTAGAGATTATAGAGGCAGGCATTTACACAATTGTGATACTGTGTGTCGGGCCATGGGCTTTGTGTGAGGGTCAGGGCGGCCACAAATCCTGTTAAGGGGGGTTGGAGAGGATTCAGCTCTAGGGAGGGACGGATAGTTAGGAAAATCAACCCGAGGTGAAATCCTATGTGGATAGAAAATGACAAATTCCCTGGATTTGGAGGACAATGACGGGGGGTGGGGGTGGGGACGTGAGGGCAAGGTAACAGGTTGTGGGAGAAAAACCCGTCCGTGAGCTTGCCTACTGCACTTCCTGCCTCAAGGAACCTGGGGTTAGGATTCTCCCCCTTGTATGTGATCTGGATCGAGTTATTGCTAGGCACTGGTCAAGTAATTCCGTTACTGCTAATGGGATACCATTTAGCCAAGCGAGTCGTGGCTGCAGGCGGAAGTCCCGCTGCCTCAGGTGCCCCCGGCCGGCGTCCGACCGCCGCCTGGACCCTGAGACACGCCCGCGCCGCATCGTAATTTTGGGTTTTTCTATATCGGTCTGCCCCTCCCTTTTGCTTTCCTCTAGTTCGGCCTCGCTCTGACCTAAATCCACGACTGGAGCGCCGTCCACCCGCCCACGCCCAGAGTCCCCGGACCAGCTCGAATCCTCCACTGCAGCAGCGGTCACGCGCAGCCAGTCCGGCCGGGGGAAGGAGGAGGAAGTGGAGGAGGGCGGGGCAGCCGTGCGGAGCCCGCCCCTCCCGCCTATGGCGGCTTCTCCTCACTGGCAGAGCCTCCTCCCAGCCTCCCAGCCCCACTTTGGATTGGCTAAAACGCTCTCAGGGGGCGTGGCCTCCAGGGGGAGGGCTGGAGCGGAAGGAAAGCGCCCTCTCTCGGGAGGCGGGGTTGCCTAGGCGACGCCGGGGGCGCGCTCGGGGGTGGGGAAGCGAGCCAGGGCTGCTCAATGACAAATCGGCAGGGGACTGCTGGGGTCCGGCCCCGGGAGGAGGCGAAGGAGAGGACGGGGCAGGTTTAAGAGCAGCGGGACCAGTGCGGACGGCCGAGGCGGCGCGGGACGGGTCCCAGGTGAGGGTGCCAGCGCCCCGACAGGCCAGCTCCGGGCGGGGTGGGGCGCGGGCTGGGGAGGTGGGGTGCGCCGCCCCACTCTCGGTGGCCGCCTGTCCCCGCGCTCTGCGTGCAGGCTGTGGAGGGCGGAGGGCGACGCGGGGTTGCCGGCCTCATTCGGCCCCGGCCGGTCCCCGGGAGAAAGCCTCCGAGACCGGCCCGGGGCTGAGGAAATGGGGGCGGCGCCCCAGCCTCTCCCTTTTCGCCGCTCCTTCCCTTTTCCCACAAATGGCCTCTGCTTCCACTTCCTGCCCTTTCGGGCCTCCAGCCGAGGATGGTCCACTTCCTCAGTTCCTAGTTGCCGCTGTGGGCAGGGTAAGAGCTGTAACAGTGTTGCAAAAACTTGTTAGTACCTTAAGAACTTGGGCTGAACCGGGGCCGTGTTCCAAAAGTTGGTTGGTCTGTTTGTTTTGGTCCTGTCTTGCAAGTGAGCCTCAAGTTGTTTCTTTGCCCGCCCCCGCCCCCTTTAGTTCCTTTCTGATAGAGGCTGACACCGAATGTGGCTTCTAATAGGAAGCGCCACCGACTTGATCTGTTTGGCTGGACCAGGCTTCCACTCCTCTTTTCTTGCCCTCTTATAGGTATATGAGGTTATCGGGGTCGTGGTTGGTTCAGAATTGCCAGTGGCAGAGAGAGCTGTGCCCAGACTGCTTGTTTGAGCAGTGTCCTTTCTCTGCTAGTTTACAGATGAATATTGGAAACGTTGGAGCTTTGATATTGTTATCAGGTGAGTCTTCTGGGGAGAAGAAGTGTGGCTGGCGGACTGCTTTAGAATTGCCCCTGGAAGAGACTTGGCTGATGGTTCATTTACGTTCCCTGTGAGGTGATTTCAACCTTTGTAGAGGAGGGAACTTTATGCGATGGCCTAGCTTTCTAACCTCATTTCTTTTTAAGTTTTGGGGATGGATAGTGGGCACTGATTGTCAAAGACTATAGCGTATCTTTTAGATGTGCAAATGGCCCACATTCTACAGCTGAGCAGCGAGAGAGGTTCTTGGTTGTCAAAGGCCCAAACAGGTGAAGGCAATGTTCCTTAAACCTGGAGCAATAGAATTAGAACATGGAAGTTCTCAGAAATGGAGTGACTGTGGAGGTGGCATTGAATATTGGGAAGAAAAGGAGGTCAGGGTGTGAAGACCTAGGTTTGATACTGGTTTTGCAACTTTATTAGGGGTGGGATCTTGAGCATGACTTTTCACCTGTCTGAGCTGGAGAGCATGCAGCAGTGAGAAGGTGGCAATTGTTTTCCCTGCCTGTTAGGAGAACATGAAATTAGGAATGTTGAAGGTGTTCTTTGTGGTAGCGGGGTGGGATGGAGGTAGGGGTAAGGAATAAGGCCAAGGATACACATTCCTTGTGTGTGGTTTTAGTCCTGTCCCCTCGTCTGCTTTCTTCTGACCATGTCTGAGTCTTTCCTTCCTTTACTTTTCATGGTATTTCCCATGGGAAACAGTGGGGATCTGAAATCTCAGCAAGATTTCCCTAGTGGTACAAACTTTCCCAGGACTTTGTGAATATGGGACCAAGACACATAGGTACGAAGACAAGGATTCAAATGTCAAATGGGATCTAAACGGGTGTTGGTGGAAGGTGGAAGAAGTAGAAAAGTTTTGAATTCTTGAAGGTTCTTGCCTTGGCTGGAGATGGTTTGAGACTCTGGAAATTTGTAAACCAGAGAGTTGAGGTAATCCGTTGTGCCACATCACCCGATCCCACTATGCCTCTTGGCATTCAGTTACTAAATTCCTCTTCACTCATGGAATTTATGGAGTTAGAAACATCGGTGGAGACCTTTTCTGAAAGCTAAATTTGGAGACAGTATAACAACAGTGTTGGAAGAGATCTTGGTGAACTCTTCTAATGTTCCCAGTGTAACTTGTCTCAAGATGATAGGCAAGAGTCCCACTTTTCATTGGCTCCAATTACTTCTAAACAAACAGCCCCTGCTGTTAGATATGCAAGATGCTTGAGATTTTTTTTTTTTCTTCAAGTGGGTATGTGTTGAGAAGTCTGAATCAGAGAGACCAGAGTACCAGAGAAAATGGGACTCTTTCCTAATCACGGGGGAGATGGGTAAGGAAGAGGAGGGAAATTAACATTTATTGAGCATCAGCTATCCACTTGGCACGGATCCACTGATCTAACCAATATCAGATATGTAGCTGGCCTTGGAGATTTGGCCATGAACTGGCTCTTTTAGCTCCTCAGTTCTTTTGATTACTTAGAAATACAAATATGGGCGTATATGTCCACGTATTCTTAAAGGTTTCAAAAAGGAGAGACCAGTAGGCGAGAGTGGGAAGAAAGATGAAAAGAATGTGGAAGTGGGAAGTCAAAGAGGGAAGGTATTTCAAGTTTATGTTGCTCTTAAAAAAAGGAACTGCTTATAATAATGATAACAGAGTGTTCTCTGTGAACACTCCCAACAGAGAGTGTTCTCGTGATGGGTGTCAGTGAATCTTCGGGGAGTTTGTGCTTTTTGAAAAAAATTGAAATCTAAATGCAGGAAGTGGTGCTGTTAATCAATACTTGCTAATATATTGTCATTGTTGCTTTTGCCAGGGCTTTGTGGGCAACTTAGCTGTAGTATACTCTAGGCCCACCAGATTGGGAATGGACAGAAAATTTCAAGTGAGGTCTGATCCAAATGAAAACATGTCATGCTATGTAATTTTACTTGGTATATGGCATGAGTTGAAGGAAGTGTAGTAGTTTGGTCCTGTATAGCTGGCCACTTCGTAGTTTGACTGTCTTGAATGAATTTTCTGCTGTGTACTGTATTACCCGAAACGTAACAGCTTCAACAGTGTCTGAAGTTCAGGAATCTGGGGAGCAGCTTGGTGGGTGCTTCTGGCTCAGGGTCTCTTCTGAGGTAGTTGTCATCTGAAGGCTGGACTGGGGTTGGAGAATCTGCTTCCAAGGTGGCTCACTCACATGGCTGCTGGCTGGAAGCTTCAGTACCCCACCGAGTGGGCCTCTCTCCATAGGACGCTTCACAACATGGTAGCTAAGTTTCTCCCCAGAGCAAGTGATCTGAGAGAGGGAGAGAGAGAAAGCAGACAATCAAGATGGAAAGTGTGATATCTTTGTATCTAATTTTGGAGGTGACATACCATCCCTTCTACTGGCACATAGGCCAAACGTGGTACAATGTGGGAGGGGACTGCACGAGGGAACTTGAGGACCCTTGACATTGTCCGAGGCTACCAAATTTCCTCTCGAAGGTTTAGACCAGACATTATTGAGAAAAATCTTTGTTTCATATGCTTACTAAAGTATGTACTCCAGGAGAATAAAATGCAGCTGGAGTTTTTACCATTTTAGAAACTTTTAATATTAGACTTTTAACTTTATGTTCTTTCTTCTGGCTCTTCATTGTCAGATGCTAGAATTAATTAGCCAAATATACAGTAGCTTTGGAAATTAGAAATTTAAATCTTGCTGATCCCTAAAGCAAATGAAACAGCTGAGTTTTTTTTAACCGTAAAAAAAATTGTTAAACAATGATTGCCAAAACGAATTCCTTGATGAACAGCTTAAAATTAGTCATTAATCATCTGTGTATTTTTAAAAATAAAACTCACTGGCAAAGTAGCTAAAAAAAAATCTTGGAGAACCTAAGCCCTCCCCCTCCCCCCCATTATTTTAAATCTTTGGACACTATTTATTGGGCCAGCACTTTTTCATTTCTCTTCTGAAAACCTAATACCTTTTAATTATCCACTTGGATAGAAGGACTTTATTCTTTTACCTTCTAGATGAAATCTTCCTGAAGTGTCTACAGGTGGAGAGAAGAGGCATCCTGAGCCTGAAGCCTGATTAAATGACCTCTGAGTTCCCTTCCATCTCTGAAATTTCTGTGATTGTAGTAGTTTCATTTAACAAATATCCTTGGAATGAGGTGTATTTAGAACAAGAGAGTTCATAAATCATGTTAAAATGTAACTTCAGAAAGCGAAGGCTGGTGAGAGTGGCTTTTGTTCATCCCAGCCCAGCCTAGAGTCGTCACTGGGTGGATTGGACACTCAGCACAACTTGTGTTCCCTTTCTTCCCATTTTTGGCCTTTTCCCCCATTTGCTGCCCTCATTTGTGAGCTAGTATCTTTCTTTTCTTTCATCCTGCCTCTCCTATCATCCCACTCCTTCCTTCCACCCCACTCTGTGGGGAGAAACAGGAAAGGATGGGTAGACAGTTATAGAGTGTGGATTAGCTCATCCTCTTCTTAGTAGTGGATTTAGTGAAGGTGGTACCTCTATTCATACTTGCATGTTAAGCCTTTTTAAAATCTAAAATTATATGTGTTCATTCATTAAGTGCTGCCATTTTTTTCACGTCTAAAGGGGTTCTGTACCCACTTCCAAGGCAGGGTGTGTGTGTGGTTTTTTCAGCACCACCGCACAATTCCGACACCAGCTAGGTGTCTACATTTTGACTCAATTCTGACACTGTTTACTTGGAGACAGCATCAGGTTCCACAGATTAAGGGCCTGGTCCCACAAGACCACACTCCACTTCAGATGCCAGTCGCAAGCCCAGATTGTTACCTGTGCTTCTGATTGACTCACTATAAATCAGAGGTGTTCACAACCCCCTGCTTGGGTTTGATTAACGTGCTAGAGCACCTCACAGAACTCGGGAAACCCGTTTACTCATTAGATTACCGCTTTATAACAAGGGATATTAAAGGATATGAATCAATAGCCAAATGAAGAGATACATGGGGTAAGGTCTTGAACAAAGGAGCTTCTGTCCTCACGGAGTCGGGGGCCCACCATGGTGGCACGCGGAAGTATCCTGTCTGGTTCCCCAACCTGGAAGCTCTTCGAACCTCCCTTTGGGCTTTTATGGGGGCTTTATTACCTAGACATGATTGATGAAATCATTGCCGTTGGTGATTGATTCAACCTCCAGCCCCTCCATTGTCTCTGGCCTGGCCTGCTGTATCTCCCACATCTGCTCTTGGCCCTTCTGTTTCTCCGCACTCTCGCTAGAGTGAGCTTTTCAACAGGCAGGTCTAATGGTGTCCCCAGTTTGCTTGGAGCACTTCAGTGGCTTTCCAATGCCCTCAGTAGAAAGTCTAAAATCCCCAAACTGCTGGGCCTACAGGGTCTTAAATGATCTGGCCCTTTCCTTTCCCGTGTAGTTCCATCTCATGGCGGACTCTGTGTCTTTCTCTCTGCGCCAGGCGGCCACAAGGGTCTTCAGTTACTTGACTGTGTGTCGCTTGCTTCCTCTTGCTTCAGGCCTTCCTAAAAGCAATACAAGAGGAGAGGAGAGCAGGTGAAAGGGATCCTAGGTGGGAAGGCACTGGGCATATTCGTGGAACTGAAAGAAGGCAAAGCTGGCTAGCGGAAGAAAGGTCTTGTAGGCCATGGTGACTAGCGGGTTTGGATTTTATTCATGGTGCGCCATTAAAGGGCTTTACGTACGGGGGGCTGTGTGGGGAATAGGTTGAAGAGGGGCTAAAGTGGCCGTGACAGGTCATTTAGGAAGTCGTGGCCCTTCAGTGGTTGGTGCCCGGGCCTAGGGTATGGCAGAGATGGAAGAAGCGGGTTTCGGAGAGGGAACCAGTAGAATTGGCCACGAACTGAGGTGGGGGAGAGGCACGGGGGAATCAAAGATAACTCCAAGGTTTTTGGCTTTAGTAATAACTTGGATACAACTAATTACTTGAGTGACTGCTAGGTGGGGGATAGCGGAGAAGGGGCAGATTTGAAGCGGGGCAG